ATGGTTGAAATTACTGGCTTTGGGATTATCAGTAAGAACTTTAGCAGCAAGGACAGAAGGCCGTTCTCATTTATTTACTCTAAGTATCAGTAAAGAAAAGGCAATGGTATCTATATTTTTGAGTTTGGAGTTCACTCAGGAATCCTCTAGAAGCAGTAAAACCCCAAGAAAAGAGGCTCTGTAGCTGTTTGAGGAGTAATAATATGTGCATGCTGTCCAAACACACAAATGTTTCCTAAGTAAATTCCAAAACAAGACAAGCACCACATTAAACTACACAAAGCACTTGCAGAATGTGACAATTTAATACGTAAATGTGAAACTTGTGGGATCCTAGAAATAGCTAATTTCTCTTAGCTTCAGACTAATAGAAAATACCCTAAGAATGAGAAAAATCATTGCACAACCTAAGTAAATATTTACTAATAAAAACATAAGGCACTAAATCTTTATTGGGATTTCACTGTGCACATGAAACTGCAGTGTTACTTACATAATACATTCTTTTTAGCAGCTATTTAAATGAGGTATACATAATTCCATCAGTAACAGCCAAACAAAGCCCAGGGTCATTCCCTTATTTCCAAGCAGTAGCAATGCTACCTGTCGGGGGCCAAAACCATTCTGTTTTTAAACCCTTGCTTTACACTCTCCCATCTGTTTACCTGTTAGGCAGGCTGGAAATTCAGCATTCAGGTCCTCTGCTCAAAAATACATTACTTTATAGCAACAAATTTACATCCCTCCAACTGCATTTTAACTAAAACTAATTAAATAAAATGCCTTCCCCCCCCCCCCCAAAATGTCATTCTTTATTTATAATTGTGTCTTTTTTCTCCCTGAAAAAAACCACCAAGCTTCTTTTTGTTCATGTACTCCTAGAGTGGAACATCCAATACAATTCTGGGTTTGTTTCTTTTTTACTTTATTCAGGGTTGTAATCCTAAGATCAAGTAACTACAGGGCAATCTTTCTGATTTTCACATGTTTATGATCAGACACATTTAAGTAATGTTGAATAACTTTAAACTGCAATTTAAGTAAAAACTGTTGGTGGTGATGTGTGATTTTTGCTAGCTCAACTTTCAGCGTCAAGAATGAACTAGCATGATGAAAGTTGACAAAACCAATTTGTAAACTGAATAAACTATGCTTTGAAATATATCTCACTCTGCAATACTAGTTTTTAAAGGCATCATTTATAGTATATCTAGAATTTACAGTAGCAGCAAATCAATGTTTCAAATGCTGCCCTTGCAGTTCTTGTAAGTCTTGTCTTTACTGGTGGCCTTCATGGTTAGAAAGCAAATCAAGCCTAAAAATGCGTTTTTATTGTATTAAGAATGCTAGCATTTATCTAACTGTTCCTTTTGCTATATAGAAACTTAAAGCTCTATAGTTTTTCAAGTTACGCCAATATAAAAGGTAATTTGCAATCTCAAAGGAGTCAGAATCCAAGAATCGTATCTTACTTTCAAGACAACACCTCCTGCAAAACAGCACCTAAGAAATATCCCAATGCTGTCTCTTTATGGGATCTTTGAAATACTATCTAAATAATAACCAAATCCAAGGTTACTTAATTCAGGAAGTCTGACAACGTAACAATTTAAAATATGTCACATCTTCATTCTCATTAGCAATCGTGGATGATTCCTCCATCTCATTATGCTACCATTTCCAAGTTAAGAGTGATTTGCAGAAAGATACGCAACAGATGTTTTTCAAAGATCATCCTCTTACGACATAAACACTAACTGCTGTTTCCTTAAGAATGACAAAATCCTAAATGCCAACAGAGAGGCTTAATCATTAAAAGAAATTTCTCCTCATCTGCAGTAATTCAAAAATCATGGCATTCCCTTCATTAATGAGATGAAGATTAGGACTGAGCAGGTGAGTGAAAAAATTCTCAGTAGCATCCATGAAGTTTAGATTGAAACTGTATTTTTGGGTGTAAATTAACACCACATAATGCATTCAGAAAAACATAACATGCATTTTGAATAGCTCCTATTGAGCTCACAGTATTTGAAGTACCACCAGTGAGATGTCAATTCTTTACTCTTACGTCTTTCTTGAGAAGACAGACAAGCCTGCCAGTATTGTAACCCACATCACATTTGAATTCAGCAGACAGAATTGACTCTATTACAAAACACCTCAGTTTACAACTTCATGGCATTGTTATGTATCTCACTAAACATTTCCCTTACCTTACTTATTTAGCCAAACTTATTTCAGAGCCAGTGATGTGGATAATTTGAGAAAAATAACTGCACTATTACAATGGAAGAGGCTCATTTACACAACAGGAAAGATTACAGTGTTCTCAAATGCAGCACTTTAATTTTCAGACCACACACAAGCCAACTGTCTCCTGTAACACTATGTGAGTTAAGAGCCACAGTATGATGACATAACCTCCATGCATGAAAGGCCACATTAACTGTCACTAAAAGTTTTTGAGCATCTCTTTTGGCAAAGTGATTATTCAGACAACAGCCGTTTGAAAATCGGTAATGAAACAACAACCAACCAAAACTATACCTGAAGTGTCCAAATACAGGAAGACTAAGAGGAACACAGCCTACCTGTACAACTCCTCTGCATCAATGCATACAGACCTTTTCCAAAAGTAAAGGTAAAAGTCTTTTCATGCTTCATTCCCTCTAACAGGCACATTCTAGTTTCTTGATATTAAAGTTCAAGCCTCAAGATAACCCGCTTAGCTTTTAACTATCTTCAGAGGACACTCATGGCCCTGATTTTCCAGTAATGTTTTTGATACCTTGTATTATTTTCTAACTACATGCTCATTCCCTAAATTTTGAGGATATTCACAGTTTAACACTAAGGGCACTAAAGCAGCTTCCTAGTCAAATAAAAAAAAAAAAAAAAAAAAAAAAAAGACAATTCAAGGTAAGCACTTTGCCAGTTCCAAGAAGAGGGATCGCAGATGGCACGTGAACTTGCCACTGCAACCAAGACCTGAGAGTCCTTCTCAGGCTCCTAGCTCCATAGCATCTGTTCAGACCACAACATTTCATTAACCCACAAGTAGGACAAGATGAATTTTTGGCCAACCTTGTCCTTATCTCTACAGAGAATACTTTTCTCTTGTACTTGGAGACTGTTTCCCACAAACCAAAGTTGCTTCTATTTAAAAGAAAACCACGATGTGGCAGGTGCACATTGCCCCTAAGTCCAAAACAACTGCTCAGAAGTTTTAGTGTCTTAAATGCACTTTAGTATCAAGCTCTCCCACATCTTGCTCTGCAGGTAAACTTGGGTCTTGGTGTCATTACCACTGAATAAACAAGCTCTTCAGTGCACTGCAATGGGACCTTTTCACTAAAGGCTTCTCACAGTTAAGACAGAGAACTCTAAACACAGATATGCCTTAGTGACACTGAAAAAGCACCCTAGAGTGGTTTCAGGTCCATGCAATAGAAGTAAACAATCTAAGCAGACTTGAAAATACCATGTCATGCCTTTCCAGGTCACAAGGTACTTCTATAACTTTAAAAAATAACATAACCTGAGGGTTTTATTGTGTATGGTTTGGGGTTTTTGAGGGCTGAGGGGGAACCTGTCCCAAAACTCAATGAAATAAGTCTTGTTTGACAGGCTATAAACCAGGCTTTAATTACCCAGCAAGTGTAAATATAGTAAATATAGGCACAAAACTAAGAAAGCTGTAAGTTTAACTACTAAAATTATTTTCACCAATTTAGATCTCTATTGGACGTTTACTACACAATAATTATAGGAGGACCATGCGTTTGCCAGACTTTGTAATAATAAACATTAATTTCCTTTGTGCAACCTGCTTCCTAGCGGTATGTGGGAAAAATGCCACTTCTCATGGTGCCAAAGCCATACACCATAAGCAAGTCAGTTAAAACACAGTTATTTGTAAAATCTGCTGCAAATATTTTAAATAATTCATCTAGAAAATGTTAGTTCAGCAACGTAAGACTCAATTATTGCGGTTTTCCTTTAAATGTTCTTGTCCTGTGTAAGCTGATATTTATCTCAAAAAAATCCCCAAACTTGTAGCACAAGAGGCAAAAAGGCATGTAACCCAGCAAAAACTGCCAAGCCAAAAGGTTTCTTTTTACGTGTTTTTATTTCTGATTGCATATGGTGATGGTTCTATGGTATAATATGCTGCAAGAGTAATTCACACAAGCTCCTGTCCATAGCACTTGAGCTAATAAAATAACAGACTCGGTAGACAGAATTCATCTTTCTTTTGCTAACAAAGTCATGAGAAGGCCATTGTAACTTGCTGCCTTTAATCTTAAAATGGATGTGTCAGAAACGAAACTTTCTATAGACATTAAAGATCCTATGTCAAAGGAAAATAGTAACAGCTTTGTCTCAAGTGTTAAAAATTTGGGGGTGGAAATAGCTTGGGTACCTGCACAAACAAATTCATGTTTATCTCCTAAAATAGGTGACCAGCTGTGATCTGCAAGAATTTAAAGTAAGGCTAAGTAGGTCTATCATGCACTGAAATGTAGAGCTGAAAGCAATGGCAAGCACAATAGTGAACAGGGCCTTCCTGTGACACAGCAAGAGGTTTGCCATGTTATTTCTAATACAGATGCTGAGCTGTGGTCTTAATATATTAAAACAAAGCTGGCCACTTATCTTAAGAATGTATTTACTACATTATCACCATCTAATGGGATTTGACAGCACTGACAGGAGTTCATAGAGGCTTGCAAAGGAAAATATCTGAAAATTCCAGAATTCAAAGATAGTCTTTCCTCCAATTTACCATTCCTATGCTTTGCTGGAGTGCAGAAGTGCACTGAAACCTTGGAACAGATTTTATAATTTGCCCATGTCTTGTTAATATACTGCAGTCTTCAAATTTACACAGAGCTGCAGTTCTCCTGTTTTTTCTCAAGTGTCACTCATCTAACTTAACATGACGGCTGAGAACAATGGCAGATGCGTTACAGTTCAGTTTAAAAAACATCCTCTACCTGGTATCTCTGTAGTGATTGTCTTGCTGCTCCCTGAAACCTCTTCATCATCCTCTGATGAGCTTGTGCTCGACTCACACGTCAGGTCACTATCACTGGTACTGCTGTCCTGCAGCAGGTTGTACTTCTTGCGAGCAGCTGCTTCCCGTTTCTGTCTCAAGAGCCGGATTCTTTCCTTGTGCTTTTGGCTTCGATGACCTTTTACTTTGGTAACTCGACCATTCTGCTTATCAACAGACTGTCGGTTTTTCTTGGCAGCCATTGTTGAAGTTTCACTTTCAGACCTGGATCGCCTGGATTTCCTCCCAGTTGCAACCCCAGATGCTGCCGAAGGATCTTCCTCTACAACAGCTTCAGCCTGACAGGGCTCATTCTCTTCTGTGGAAGACAATGTATCTGAGTCAGCCAAATGCCCACTGGAAGAAGGGGAAAGCATGCAATGATTAGAAGAGTCACTCTCATAAACTCGACCACCCATTGGCTTATCACTCTCCGTAGATGCTAGCTGAGACTCTGAGGAGTCTCGCCTTAGTTCCATCAGTAAGCAAGGCATTGAGGACAGCACTGCAGAGTCTGCTGCAATGGGCACATTGTCTTTCTGAGTGTGTGTCTCAAGTTCTATAGGTCCATCTTCATCAGGAACAGTCTCTTGCTTTTCAGAAGTCTTTGGTGGAACTTGTGAATCAAGAAGTTCTTCTGCTTTTCCCACCGCCTCCATCTTCATTTCAGAACACCAAGGTCCTCCTGGTCTCAAAGCATGGAGCACGTGGTCTGGAAGACTGGATGAACAGGAGATGGACTTCAGCAATGCAGCAGCCTGCACAAAAACACAACAGTAAGAATAATTTACCCAATTAACTCAGTCCTGCTCTTTACACTATTACCTAAACAACTCAGGGCTTTCAATTACAGTTTAGTTCAGTATTGTATTGGTTTTCTTCTTTTACTTCTTCCTCGTGGACCCATCTTGGTACACATCCATGAAAGATGGTACTGGAATCACCTCACTAGAATAATTGGAACAGATCAGAAAATAATAAAAATATTTCTAAATGCTCACTTTATAAAACATAAATCAATATATTATAAGCAACACATGCTAAACCTCTTTAACTAGAACTTTAAACATATTTTAATGAAGAATTGTAGCCCTTGTGAACAATGCCAGCCTGAAAATTCCAAGACTTAGTGGTCATCTACCACAACAGATGGGACTACACTTCAGTTTTCTGTATCTATGAGAAATCTGCTTTCAGCTGACAGAACGTCAACCTTATAAAATTACAACAGCTTTACGGTAATGTGCAAACTTAAAGTGGTAACACGGTACAGGAGAAATACGGTCACTTTGACCAGAAACCAAGCAGCTGCTGAACATTAATCTAGCAAGACTACAAACACCTTCCTTTCCCAAGTGGCACTGCTCTGCCAGTAGGTCTTACATACCAAAGACATATCTACAAGTGACATGAAAGGACACTAAACTGTCAGAGACATGTGGTTTATGACACCTACAGGCAATGTCTTCAGAAGCATTAGCTACGTGTAACACAGATTTGCTGTCACTGCACAACCACCATGGATGGTGGTGAGTCACACAGAGACTTTGGAAGTGTACCTAATACTAAAGTACTCCCTGAATGTCTTCCACACAAGTCCTGGTTATATGAGAACCTATAGGCTGACCTAGTTTCTCTCAAATCTGCAAGGAAAACAGCATCAAACAGTATGGGCTGCAAGCAAGAAACGGTGTCCACCTACACCAGTATCTTACACTGTACTTCAAGTTATTATTTAACAAACTGCATTGCCTCACTGTAAATGCAAAACCCAAGCTATTTATCTGACTAGTAACCTGCACATTACCAACCCAAAATCACCTGCAGCAGCTTCAGGGAACTTTTGTTTGAAAGACCAGTAGCTATCATTCTAGCTTTGTTGATCACTCTTTGCCTTCCACCTACATTTTCCCACAGAATTTAACACAGAATAAAGATCTTTCAATTACCACATTTGCTTACAGATGAACGGTACAGAACAAATCGTTCTTGGGTCTAAAAGCACAGGAAATGATAAATTTATGGCACTTGAAAAGAAAATGTAGACAAGAAAAAGCAGCAGTTGGATTTAATCTACTGTTTTAACTTCTGCAGACCAGGGCAATTAGCACTTGAGCAGCCTGAGAAAGCATCAATGGTTCAGAAAGAGATTCTCTGTACCCTCACAATCCTTCTTCGTTTTTCAGATCCATCCCAAGCTGCCTGTAATTGTATGTATTTAACTGCATGATGCTTCCCCTCTAACTGCACTATGGAATAAGGCTACTTCCCTACTTCTAACAGCTATAACAGAAAGCTCAGTGTTGTCCTCTCTTCCCTAACCCACTTTTAAAACTTCATTTCTAAAGAATATTAAAGGTGAGGTGAGGGAAAAAATAACCAACCTAAAACCCCAAACAAACAGTAAACCCAGCATTTTACTTCAAAAAAAAAAAAAAAAAAAAGATAAAATACATACTAAACATTTAAAGAAAAATATTTGCTCATACTTGCACTGAGTATAACTCTTGAAAGCAGCTTAAAAGAATTTCAGGATAAGGTAATTTAATCTAGGGAATAAATATCACATAATAACCAGCTTATTTCTAAGGCCACAGCACAGCAGGAACAAACTCAAATGATGAATACACATTCTAAGAAACAACTGCATCCAAATACTGCAATAAAGCCAGTATTTCTACGTATTTTTCATCCACAAATGTACATTATCAAATCATTTTCCTATTATACAGACAAGTAAACCACAGATTTGATGACTGAATGAAGGGCCAAGAGTTATACACAGCAGGCTATGTATTGTACCTGCTTGTGAAACTCGCAGTTCTGCTCTGGTCTTCCACTTTGAAAAGAAATATGAGTTTTGAAATGTATATGCAAGGAAAAATTTGGTTGCTCCAACACATACCAGGAGATATTAGCCTAGCCAAAAGAAATGTACTTAAATATTCATGCTAATAATTGCCGAATAGCTTCTGCACTAATCATCCTTTTAGCCTAAGGAACGCAAAGAACAGAGCTTGACACAAAACCGAAGGACAGCTAAAGTGAACTCAAGACTCTTCACAAACGTCCTACTTAGGAATATAATCTACCTCCCAGCTCCCACAGGGACTGGAAGGACACCTGTACTGCTCTTTCCATCTCTCTGGCCTATCAGCTAGAGAAAAATATTTTCATCTATGTGCTGCCACCTCAATAACACCCTAATTACAAAAACCTGTGGACATCTGTGGATGACGCAATCTACAGACAGTTAGGAACAGGCTCACGCTCATGGGCCCTTATTCTCATGGGGAACTTCAACCACCCTGATATGTGTTGGAACGACAGAATGGCCTGGCACAAGCAATCCAGGAGGTTCCTTGATTGTGTGGAAGACAACTTCCTTCTGCAAGTAACAGAGGAGTGAACAAGGACAGGTGCCATGCTTGACCTCATGCTCACGAACAGGGAAGGGCTCATTGGAAATGTGATGCTCCAGGGCAGCCTTGGATGCAGCGATCATGAGATGGTTGAATTCGAGATCCTCAGGACAGTGAGAAGACGGTGCAGCAAGCTCACTGCCCTAGACTTCAAGAGAACAGACTTTGGCCTCTTCAGGAACCTGCTTAGTAAGGTTCCATGGGACATAGCCCTAGAGGGCAGGGGGGCTCAAGACTCTTGGTTGATATTCAAGGATCTCCTATTACAAGCTCAAAGGGGTGTTGCATCCCAACTAGAAGGAAGTGCAGCAGGAGGGCCAGGAGACCTCCTTGGATGGATAAGGAACTGCTGAGGAAAATTAAAATAAAAAGAGGCTTATAAAAGATGGAAGCAAGGACAGGTGGCCTGGGAAGAATATAGGGATGTTGTCTGGGAAGCTAGGGACCATGCTAGGAAAGCTAAGGCTCAGTTAGAATTAAACTTGGCTTGGGATATGAAAGATAACAGGAAGGGACTTCTATAGTTACATTGCAAATAAAAGACAGACTAGGGACAAAGCAGGCCCCCTCTGGAAGCTGTCGGGAGAACTGGCTACCCTGGATTTGGAGAAGCCTGAGGTTCTTAATGACTTCTTTACCTCGGTCTTCACTGGCAAATGCTCTGACCACACCACCCAAGTCTTCAAAGGTAGACACAGGGACTGTGAGAATGAAGACCCTGGGTCCACTGTAAGAAAGGATCTGCTTCGAGATCATCTTAAAAACCTGAATGTACACAAGTCCCTGGGACCTGATGAAATCCATCTGCAGGTCCTGAAGGAGCTGGAGAATGAATTTGTTAAGCCACTGTCCATCATATTTGAAAAATCACGGCAGTCAGGTGACGTTCCCAACAACTGGAAAAAGGGAAATATAACCCCCATTTTCAAGAAGGGGAAAATGGATGACCCGGGGAATTACAGACCAGTCAGTCTCACCTCTGTGCCTGGCAAAGTCTTGGAGCAGATTCTCCTGAAAGGCATGCTAAGGCACATGAAAATCAACAAGGTGCTTGGTGACAGCCAGAATGGGTTCACTAAGGGCAAATCCCGCCTGACCAATTTGGTGGCCTATGATGGGGCTACAGAACTGTTGATGTCATCTACCTGGACTTGTGCAAAGCGTTCGACACTGTCCCATACAACATCCTTGTCTCTAAATTGGAGAGACATTAATTTGATAGGTGGACCACTTGGTGGAGAAAGAACTGGCTGTATGGTTGCATGCAAAGAGTTGTGGTCAATGGCTCAATGTCCAGCTGGAGACCAGTAACGAGTGGTGTCCCTCAGGGATCGGTGTTGGGACCGGTCTCAACATCTTCGTCGCTGACATGGACAGTGGGACTGAGTGCGCCCTCAGCAAGTTTGCTGATGACACCAAGCTGTGTGGTTCGGTTGATACGCTGGAGGGAAGGAATGCCATCCAGAGGGACCTTGACACCCTTCTGAGGTGGGCTGATGCCAACCTCATGAAGTTTAACCATGCCAAGTGCAAGTTCCTACACCTGGGTGGGAGCAATCCCAGACACTGCTACAGGCTGGGCAGAGAAGAGATTCAGAGCAGCCCAAGGAGAAGGACCTGGGGATGTTGGTCAATGAGAAAATGAATATGAGCCGGCAGTGTGCGCCTGCAGCCCAGAAAGCCAACCATATCCTGGCTGTATGAAATGGAGTGTGACCTGCCCCTCTGCTCTCGTGAGACCTCACTTGGAGTATTGTGTGCAGTTCTGGTGTCAACATAAAAAGGACATGGAACTGTTGGAACAAGTCCAGAGGAAGGGCCACGAGAATGATCAGGGGACTGGAGCACCTCCCGTATGAAGACAGGCTGAGAAAGTTGGGGCTGTTCATCCTGAAGAAGAGAAGGCTGCATGGAGACCTTATAGCAGTCTTCCAGTATTTGAAGGGGGGCTATAGGGATGCTGGTGAAGGGACTCTTCATTAGGGACTGTAGTGACAGGACAAGGTGCAACAGGTTAAAACTTAAACAGGGGAAGTTTAGATTGGGTATTAGGAAGAAGGTCTTTCCTGTTAGGGTGGTGAGGCACTGGAATGGGTTGCCCAGGGAGGTTGTGAATGCTCCATCCTTGGCAGTGTTTAAGGACAGGTTGGACAGATTTGGGTGGCATGGTTTACTTTGAGGCGTCCCTGCCCATGGCAGGGGGGTTGGAACTAGATGTTCTGAATGTCCTTTCCAACCCTAACTATTCTATGATTCTATGATTTCCTTATTATAAATAGGATCTCTACTTAATTGCCAAATGGAAGGTGTCCCTGCCTCTGGCAGGAGGTTGGAACTGGATCAGCTTTAAGGTCCCTTCCAACCCAAACCAGGCTGTGATCCTGTGATTTAACTATTCAAACCACAGTGGTTTGATCCCTCATACAACTATCAGTGAATTAAATTTTCCGTGAGAAGGCAGCACAGGGACTAGTAACTTCACAAAAGTTTACTCGGTCCCACTGACATGCATTTCTGTGCATCTGGAAAAAATACTTGCTTTGATGATGTTTGTGCTCTCCAGGTCCCTTAAACTGGCTACTTAAATGTCAACAATTGAAGTGTTAAGATGTGTGTAAAAAAAGGACTTTTTATTCATCTCAGTGGAAAAAAAGTCTATCATGACTCAGACACATTTTGCTGCAGGGAAGAACACAGGATAGTTCAGGGGAAAATGTGTATGCCAAGGAAAGACTTGTCTCAAAGACAGAAAATGTATTTCTTTATTTCTATTTGGAAAATTTACAGATCAGAAAGAGGAAGAGACTATATTGAAAAACTCCCATTCCTTTCTTGCCACTCACTTTTCTAGTTACAGCACTAGAAAAAATAATTTCAAGGTGATGCTAGAGAAAGACCAGGTTTTTTTACTTAAATGAGAACACAGCACTGAAAAATAAATTGTGATGCTTACAGACACAGATGGGATACTTAATGAGACATTGCTCAGAAATGTCATTCTCTTTTTCTGATGCACAGATACTGAGCTGGTGATTTTAAAAGGCAATTCTGTAAAAACTTCTATGGTAGAATTTCCCAATATAAATTATTTTATTTTCCAGCTGCACATAGAACATACCAGTATGGTTAAACCATTATATATCTTTTTGTTTCATTACCTGGGAAGTATTTCACATCATGGACCCATTTGTATAGGCAAACAATTAGTACACTATGAAGCCTGAACTTCAGTGAAACAATCCAGAAGGATTTTGAAGGTCAGATCAGCAGAGCAGCCCAGCCAGCCTAACAGTATGCTGTCCTGTCCTGGGTTTAGCAGTAGCAGGCATTTTTCTCCTTCTTGGTAGCTGGTGCAGTGCTGTGTTTTGACTTTCGGGCTGGGATCAGAGCTGATAACAATGATGTTTTGGTTTGGCCAAGGACTTTGTGAGCTTCATGCCCTTCCAGGGAGGATGGGAAGCCGGAAGGAAGCAAAGACAGGACACCTGACCCAAACTAACCAAAGAAGTATTCCATACCACAGCACGTCATGCCCAGGATGTAACTGGGAGTTACCTGGAAGGACATGGGGTCTTCTGGG